TATGTATGTATGTATGTATGTATGTATGTATGTATGTATGTATGTATAAAGAAATGTGTGTGTGTATACGTATGCATGTATGTATATAAATATATAGTTTGTCTTTAGTGGCAAAACTGGGAAAAGAGAAGATTACTTGGAGTGGTCAGAATACTTCATGGCTGTTTCCTTTCTGTCAGCCCAAAGGAGCAAAGACCCCAGTTCACAAGTGAGTGTGTGTTTGTTTATGAGTCAGTGGGCTAAAGTGGTTGAAGACTGGTTAAAAAGAAGGTTCAATGTTTGTTAAAACATTGAAAAACATTGAACATTGAAACTTATAATAATTATAGACATAAACATCTTTATGATCCTCAGTTGAAGGACATATTTGAATGCTATCACTATTTTTTCTGTACACTACCAGATGGTTTGATGATGGCTGCTGCTTTTGAAGGATTTTCTAGTTAAATGCAACTAAATAAGTAAAGCAAACCACAAACCAAAGGAGCAAAGCCTATAGAGGGGACCTGTGGCATCATATTGCCGCACCTGTTCTTTCACATTCCACATGCGTTGAAGGGAGGCACCCTTGGGGCGTTGGCTTGTGGTACAGGTATTAGAGGTTTTTCAGGTCTCAGTGCAAACTGAAACGACAATCGGAGAGTTCAGAGGTGACATTGAATCATGAAGACCATTAAAAATGTTGATAAAGAATCAAATCCTTATTAGATGTGATTGAATGAACTGCAGTTTTAGTTCCGAAATGACTGATGTGTTCCAAGCTCCCACTGGTGATTTTACGATTTCAGATGTATCTCTATTAATAGGAATATATATCCATATGAATATATAAGACCTCAATACGTCAATTACAATTACAGGCAACTGCAAAGAGAGAGAAAGCAAATGGAAACAAGGCTGTCGATGCTAATGTTTTCATGTTACACACTTTTATGTGCTAAAATTGCACTTGTTAGAATTTGGCTAAAATGACTTATTTTTGTATAGTATGCTATAACATGATTGTCTTATTCTTTTTAGAACTTTAATTTTTGTCTTAAAGTCTCTGGCTGTGCCCACAGACTCCCTTTTCTCTCATTTTCTTTCTCTGTTGCATAAGATCCACACTTTTAGGTCAACACATACACACACCATTTGCTACCACATTCCAACCTCTCCCTCTGCAGGTGGGCGCCTGCATCGTCAACCCGGAGAACAAGATCGTGGGCATCGGTTACAACGGCATGCCCAACGGCTGCGACGACGACCTCTTGCCATGGTCTCGGTATGCTGACGACTGGCTCGACACGAAAAAACCTTACGGTAGGAGCCTAATATTTGCATTGGTGCTCCATGATTGATATTTTTCTGAACGTTCCTTACTGCTGTCTCAAGATGGCAGTAATAGAAACCCTGTCGGTTGACTAAATACAGAGGCTGAGTCACTTTAAGGATGGCCTAGTCTTGCCCTACCACCCGCTATGTTTGCTCCAAATTTCCCTGAGCTGACGGGGAATCACCCACATATTTTGCCACGCTCTGAATTTAATGAGATTCAGGAGTGGGGTTTTATCCATTGACAGGTCCCGTGTTTCTCCCCATAGGTTTTGGTGTAGCAGCTTGTAAAGCTCGGTACTCATTTACCTACCTCATCATGCACGGATATTTATCTTTTCAGAAATGGCACGTTACACATTTTCAAGCTAAATAATCCGCTCATGTGACATATGTGTACATTTTCCGATGAATTGCAAATTTGACGGGCCGCGGACTTGATTCCGCGGCCCGTTAAATGCAGTCAGAGTTGTTTTGTGCTGAACGACTGTCCCACAGTGTGCCACGCAGAGATGAACGCCATCATGAACAAAAACAGTGCAGATGTGAAGGGATGCACCATGTATGTGGTTCTGTTTCCGTGCAACGAGTGCGCCAAGCTGATCATTCAGGCCGGTAAGTGTTCACACAGCTGCCCCTTCTAGAAAGTTTTTTTTTTATTACACTAATAGGGCCTGCTTTTGTAAAACATTTTTTTAGGTCTTTGATACCCTGTTTTATTTAACTGTCCATAGTTTAGTAAAGACAATAAAAGCAGCACTTTTTGGTGTGATTTACCTGTAAAGTAAACAAAACTTCCACTTCTTCTTCAAGTTAATACATTTTTTAAAGATTTTTTTTCTTTTTTTAAACATTTTCAATCAAATGATATTCTACCATGCTCGCAATAGTAATACAAGTAATTATTTTAAATTCATATTAATTTTTTTTTCTTTTACAGCGCATTAAGGGTTCTTAATATTTTCTTTTATCAAATAATGCAAACTTTCAAAAAACTTTAAAAAAATGAAACTGTCTTCCCTTTCTATATTTTTTAAACGGAGGAAGACCAAAAACACCTATTTAACTTTGGCCCTCTGGCGCTTAAGATGTCAAAAATGATGTATACTTTTTTATTTGTACACCCCTTATGGTCAGTTCAATGCACACTCTCTGGTCAAGTTTTAGGGATACACCTGGTCTATTTTCGCCTTTTATTATTTAAATTTTTTAAACAGTACTCTTGCATATAGTTTGTTCTGTTGCTATTGTGATTTTTTTTCTAGATTATTTCTATTCAATTAAAATAATCACATTATATTAAAACCTTCTGATCCTGAATAGGATGGAAAGTGTGAATTAATTTATAGGATAAAAACATAAACAGCAACACTTGATCGAAACAGTATTTGTGGACAATGAATGAGCTTGTCTTAGTTTTTTTTGTCATCTTCTCTCGTCTTCGGCTCTTAAGTACAATACATTTAACCTGCACTTTTGTGTAGTACAGACTCATAAGCTCCTTGTCGCCTTCTCTGTCACTTATTCCCTTTGTCAAGGACTCAAAGAAGTGGTTTATTTCTCTGACAAATACCATGATAAACCCGAGTACACAGCTTCCAGAAGGCTGCTCGAAATGGCAAAAATAGCTTACAGGTAAACAGCCAGTGACGGGTCCCCTTCTTTCTTTGACATGAGCTTTTTTTCGGTGTGTGCATTAGATTTCTTTTAGCTATTTGGGGATTCAATAACCTTTTCAACATGTCTGACTTTTCTGATGTGTTTTCCGTTACTTGCAAGGACACTTTAAGACACAGGTGTCCAACTCCAGTCCTCTTTGGGCCGCTGTCCTGCAGGTTTTTCGAGGTGTCCCTGCTTCGACACACCTCACATCAAAGTTCCATTAGCGAAGCTGGACAGTGTCCAGAGCAGATGCAATTTAATCGGAATCAGGTGTACAGAAGCAGGGAAAATGTCTAAAACCTGCAGGACAGCGCCACCCAGGACTGGAGTTGGAGACCCCTGCTTTATGGTATACAACAGGCTCCCACTGCACAGAACTGAGTAACTAAAGGATTATGTGACTATTAAAATTTATTTCCTGGCAACATTTGACATCTATAACTCTGACATTCTGTGACATCTACTGTAATCTGATCATAACTATACTTTTTTTCTTCTTTTTTAATGCCAAAAATTGGATCTAATTTCCTTTGAATTGAGGCTATCGCACTGTTTATATAACATGCAATATAACATGGCATGGTTTAAAGTCAACTCACCTGAGTTTTCACGTGGACTGAACTTAAGTGAGTGAGTTTTTTAAGGAACAAAAGTTTGATTTGAAGAGTTTTTTTTACTCTTACATTCTTTATTACAATCTATGTTTTTAGGTGATTTTCGCTGCGAATGGTGCATCAGCTCCCATTCTAAACATTGCTAATATTTGATTTTTCCCCCATATTTTGGCAGGGAGTTCAAGCCCAAGAAGACCGAGATTGTCATTGATTTTAATTCTATCAACCACGCTGAGATCCAGAACCCGTCGACCAAGTAAAACTGGACCTAAGAGAACGACCAAATATGGAGGGATAATGAGTTTGAAAGGTACTGAGATGCCTGTGTTCTAGAATTGTTTTTGCCCTGTTGCTTCAAAACGAAGCTTAACTTGTTACTATGCTTTCTAAGCTGCTTTTTTTTCTTTTTTAAATTCTTTTTTTTTTCTCTTAAGGAAAAACAAAGTAGTTGATGTGGATGCTTTTGCCTTCTGGACGGTTTAACTGTTTTTATGTGATATTTTAAAACCCTTATGTTGTGAATCTTACTGTTATGGTTGTTACCAAAGTGGAAAACTAGAAAGCATCTTTTCTGTCTTTTTTTTTGTTGTTAAACAAGTGTCAGATCTGATCAAACTGATTAGACTGTTTAAGAAAAATGTTCAGCACATTCTGCCATTGTAAACTACTTAAAGCTCAAATTACTTCTGCTGCTTGCTACTGGTTAAATAGTTTTTTTGTTGATTCTTTTTTTTTTGGTTCAGATGATGACGCATTTATAAAGTAATAATCGTTTACAGCAGAGTAACAGTCTTTTTTTTTCCTATCATGTATGCATGGTTAATGGATTCATTTATTTTAATTTGATAATATGGTAAATTTACTTCTCTTTGAGATAAATAATTTTCCTGCTCTACTTTAAGTCTCTGTACAAAAGACTAAATGCAAGTAAATTATCTGGTCACGCATCTCTTTAAATGCTGATGACGCAAGACAATCCCAGTGGCCACAGTCTTTTTATTTCTCACTGCGAATCTCCTCCACACCTGTTGCTTTTCTACCATCGGGAAGGTTTTTAACTACTCATGTGTCCATAGACATACTCTTAAGTGTTCCATCCATCCACTGGTTCTAAACATGGTCAGCTCAGGTCATAAAGAAGAAACATTTTCACATCCAAGTATTTAACCCTAATCTAAAGATGTGTCCATGGATGTTTTTATTGTAGTTTTATCTGTGTGTTTTAGGGTTTGGATAAGAATCAAAGTATATCTTTAGCTTTAATAAATGAACAGACAATTCAGCATTGTTTTCATTTCAAGTGATGAAGTACCCCAAAAAAGTAACAAAATATGTCCTCCCTAAAATGGAAAATCCCCACAAAAAAAACAATGTCATGGAAAATAACCCCCATTCAAATCATCAGTTGTAACAGAGTGAACAGACACACTACACACTTAGTTCCAAGGATTTTTATTCTTTATCGTAGAAACACTGTACATAAATTACTTTCTCTGAGACTAATATTGATGTACGGATAAATGGAATTTGTCAACCTTCAAAAACAAAGTCAAACCAATAAAACAATTTCCAGCTCGTCTGAAGTGTCTTTGAAAAAAAAGAAAAAAAGATTACTCGGGTATGACGTTAACCATGAGGAAAATTCCTGCACTTCCCTTTTTAAAATGATTAAAGTTGTGTTTCCGACCCTTTGTTAACACATGTACACACACACGTATCTCTTCTAAAAGAGCACAGGGACTCACAATCAATGAGAAAAACATCCACATCAAATGTTGATCCATTACTGTCACTGATGGTGGTGCACTGTCCCTTTAAATGAGGAAAAACAAAAGAAGAGTAAGGCAACCGTCAGTTGCCGCTTACAGCAATCCTGCCCCCCCCCCCAACCCCACATCATGACAACATGTTTCTATTGCAAGCAATACTACTACCTTTGACTGACAAAAGCACAAGGTCTATGCGTTATGAAGCCGAGTCACGATTTTGAAGAAGTGAAGGACCCTCGGCCTGCCAGAGGGTTACTCAGGACTGACCAGTCCACTTGGGTTTACATAGACCCCGGGAGCAGCCGTGGCACTGTGGTCATCTGGACGTCCCCCATGCGTTTCGCCCTTAGACCTTGGTCTGGAGTGGTTTAGAGACCTTGTAAAACCACAGGAGATGAGGTGGAGTGATTCGAGAAAAAATGACCAAAAACAGATCATTGGATAGAAAAAACAAAAACAAAAAACAGAACCAAAACAAACCCTCCTCCACACAATGTGGAGTTTGGTTCAGTTTAGTTTTATATCAGCGCCCCTTTTTAGTGGTGGGAGTGTAAACTCAAAAAATATTAATAGTGATATACATGTTGGTAGGTAATAGTATGTAAACACTTCTCCATTTGTTTGTATGTCCCATTTCATCTGAAGTAAGTTTATATATAAAAAACAAAACAAAAAAAACGCAAACTTGTAAGTTGTCGTCCTTTTTTTTTGTGCCCATCTCTCTTAGAGAGTCCACAACATTTCCATTTTGATGGCCTCGGCCATGGAATAATAAAATCCTACAGACGCACGACCTTAGAGCGGATGGCCTCACATCTGGACCTACGGAGACGTGTTACCTGAAAACATCTGCTGGAGATTGGCGGTTATTAGTTACGCTCACTGCACAGTTTTTACAGCTGTTCAAATGCATGCAGACTCCTCGGTTTCGAGGGGGGGGGAACTGCACATATATACCCACGTGGCTATCTAAACGAATGCCTACGACTCACTCTTCAACGGTTGGCGCGTGGCAGTCGGCAAAGGCTTAATTGACAACAAAAAAAGGGCTGTATTGCAAGGGAAAGTGAAGAGAAAGGAGGAGGAAAGAAGGGAATGGAGGAAGAAAGGCAGGTATTGGTTCGTAGAAACCAGTTAAAAGCTCACTAATTGTGTTCACCATCACAATTGTAACTTAATGTTTGTTTTTCGGTCAGTTTACTGTAGTTTAATTGGTCGCGGATTAGCCCACGGTTCTCTGAACAGCCTCTGACATTCTCCGACGAAAAAACAAAAAGTGTTGGCCGGTGGGTAGTTTTTTCTTCTTTTTTTGTAATAGTCTGAAGCCAGTTCGATCTGTGACATCCGTTTTTGTGTCAAAACTTAACCTTTTGTAAGTCTTTTTGACAGTCAAGATGGGGGGTTGCAGTCGTCGTTTGGGTCTGCCCCCGCCGTGTTACCTCCTCCCTATCTCGCTCTGCCGTAGGAACTGGATGTTGTTGGCGCTGTCGGCCAGTTCGGGGTACTGCTCCACGGACAGGACGTAGTAGCCGTCGTAGCCCAGGACCTTCCCGCCGCTCAGCAGCTGCCTCTTCTCCCCTTCGGTCCACAGCCGCGCTCCCTCCTCCCCGTCCCGGACCCGCTGCTGCTCCCGGGCCCAGGCGCCCGCCAGCGCGCGCTGCCTCGCGTGCTCCAGCACGCGCGCCTTCTCCTCGTCGAGCGTGGTGCCGTAGCGCACGTGCAGCGCCAGGGCGCCGTGCTGCAGCTCGACGTCGGCGAACCGCCGCGTCCTCCCGTTCATCACCGTCGTGGACTGGGACACGGTGACGTTGACGCCGTTCTCCAGCGACTTCCGGCCCGACGTGAGCCGCAGCGCGCTCAGGTCGTTCTCCGGCAGGCTGGTCTTGATGAAGTAGTGCGTGTCTCGGCCCTCCACGGTGAAGTGGAGGTCCTCCAGGTAAAAGGCGTTGTTCAGGACCCCGGCCACTTTGATGCAGTCCTCGTTGGCGATGTTCAGGGCGTTGGTCACCACGCGCCCCTGGACCACGGCGAACATGACGCCCTTTCCGATCAGAGACCGGGCGGTGGCGAACCACAGCCAGGGCTTCTCGTGGTCGGAATGTTTTCGGCTGAGCTGGATCTCTGGCATGCGTTCAAACGACAAGAAAGCCCCCGACTGACGAGTCACCTCTTGCTGGACACCCGAGATGGACTGTGGAGGAAGACATTTTCACTTTTAACGACCATTCAATGATGCTGTTTTTCTGCTTAAGATGTCGTAAAATGCTGTTTACCATATCAACCATATCTAATGTGGTGAAGAGTTAACAAAAATAAATAAAAGCAATATTGAATTGAATTGGTTCTGTGTGTGAGGTTCTGTGTGTGTTTTTATATTAACTCTCCAACCTGCATCAGCAGGAAAAAACAGAAATAAAATAATGTCTAAAACATTCCAACCTGTTTAACAATAAGCACAATTGTAACACATATAGTTTCTTTGCATTCTTTGAATTCTGGAAATAGGTTGGAAAAATTGGAACAATAAATGAATGATCTCTCATTCACGCAATTTATAAAATCTAAGAGAGGTTAGAACACATACAGGCAGGTCATCCCATATCTGGCTCTTTTGCATCTCCAGTGATGGTTGTGTCAGGTCAAATTTAGGAATGGGGAATCCTGGGATTGCGTTGTGAAGGTGAAAGCCGAACGTGACCAACCAGATGTTGACGTCTGTGGAGAAAAGAACGCAGTGGTTGCTGAACAGAGAACGGAAAAAGATGAGGAAGTCGACAAAGTGAGCTGGAGCGTGCTGCTTTGATGATTTCCATGGATTTTTATCTGAACATAGAGCAGGATCAGAGCTCAACATACAATAAAAGGATAAATAACAGTCCGGCGAGCTTTCGTCTGGAAAAGGTCAAATGTGCCACATTACTGTGGCTGAAATTGATTATTTCTGGTGCAGTTGTTGCCTATTCAATCGATCCATTCCAAATTAAAGTGCTAAGTAGCTAATAATTTTTTCTTTGCTGGTGAACCACAAATACTTCACTATAATCTCTACTTCAACAATAGTACTGCAGCAAAGCATACATAGGGATAGTATGTATACTCTGTATGAATAAAAGTATGCTTTTCTTCTTCAGAGTTGCATCTTGTGAATTTTTTTTGTCTACTTAAAATCGAAAACATTCAATAAGTGACCATAAAAATGCTTTTTTTTGTCTTCTTATATCAGTTCTACTTCTACACGGTTACAATTCAGCATCTTTAGGCGTTTTCCATTTAGATCTACTGATTTTATAACCTTTGACCTTTTCAGAATACTACTCAATACTCTGTGTTGCAATAGTCTTTAGCAGTTCTTCTATCCCTGTTGAACTTCTTCTACAAATCCATCTAGTATTTGTTTTGATCATCTTTGACTTTTCTTAGCTGCTCCCCTCTCCCCTCTTCTTCAACTATCAATCTTCTCCCCTCAAATGACAGTATTTCACATCTTTTTCCTCAATTGGCTGGAAGCTTCTTGTAACTTCCATCCGCGATCAACATAGTAGCCACACTCATTTATTTTAATATTGCCCTATTTCATAGGGACTCTTCGTCCTTGTCCTGAAATGGTTGTCAGTTCTGCTTAAATACAATGAAAAATTCCCCTGAAGCTGTCATACACATTAAAATTAGGCTTTTTTAAAATGAAAATTTCTAGGACTTCTCAAGGACTCCTTTTTTTTCTGCCACTAATCCTTTTGCCATGCTTCTTCCGCTCCCCACCTTATCTTTAAAGGATCCTTCTGCTATTGTTCCTTTACTTTCAGATGACTTTCTGCCACATTTCAATGTGTTCTTCAGCTAATTGGTGCTAAGTATTTTTCTTTTTTTCCACTTTCTTGGACATCTGCTGGCGTGTCCATTCAGCATTAGGCATCCTCACCGCCGTTTGGCAGAAACAGTTCTTTCTAGTTAACTACGTGTTTCTGTTTTTGCCTTGCCTTTGATGGCACACCTTATCTGATGTCTCTGGGCTTGTTTGTGACCAGTCGGAGATGTGAGTCTCTGCTGGAGGTCTCTGCCAGATTTAAAGGATTTAGCTCCATGCACACGTATCTGTGTATGCTAAGTTCAGGGGACTGGATTCAAGTAAATCAATTGATAAATCCCTTGTTTTTTTTGCTGGCATTTATAATACAAAAATATCAAATTCGACTACTTTGATATAAATAAAAATGAGTCTTAAGTTGAACTTTATTGCTGTTCTCTTTCATTTGTCAGTAGGTGTCCATGGAAATCATGTTTAATCAAGAATTTGAGTCTTTTTGTTATACATTTGTGCTGGTAGTTGATCTGTATTTGTTACCTGTGACATACTCTTTGACCTGATGAATCTTGCTGATCGGGTCGTTGCCTTGGAACATGTACAAGTTAAACGGCCGAGGTTCTTTACCAACACGGGTCCATGTGCCAATGTCGGGAGTAGTCCATCTTGATTGAAATATAATGACGACAATGAAACAACAATTCCGGTGAAACGTGACACCGAAAAAGCAGACATCGAATACTTGTGCGCAACAACGTTGGAAATAACCAATTACCTTCCCGCAGGGATGTCGTAATCTCTGTCTCCAAAGTGAAGCAGCCTTGTTAGAGGATCGTAAAGACCTCCATGGAAACCAATAACTAACACAAAGTCCGGGTTCGAGTCGAAGTAAACCTCACCATATGCCGTATACTGAACCTGCACGAACACAAGCAAAGTTTGACAAACTATTTAATTTAAAAACACAATATGTGCTCAAGCGCCTGTTGATTTTTGCTCACAATAAAACATGCCCCATACCTGTTTAAGCAGTAGTCCATTGTTACTGAAGACAGCCAGTGGAGTTCCAGTGTTATCACAGGCAATGTAAAACTCTTCTCCACTACTTATTTCCATTGCAAATACTTGGCCCTGAACAGAATAGAAGTGAAAAGTGCCAACAATTAATAATTCTACTAAAAAGTATGCAACCACTGTTTTCGCTAACATCTGACATCATGAAACATAAGGATAACAGATATGTTTTAGAAATCTGCAAGTCACTTGGCTGCTGTGGTCCATCCATTAATAACTATAAGACAAGGGATCTCAGGTTATTATAATCAAAATCATGGCCACATTTTGGCCATTTTGAAGTCATCACTTTACGTTTTCGTACCTTCAAAAGTGGATCCCCTGTGAAGTTGTAGTTATGTTTAGCATTTTTTACAGGATAACAACAGACCTCACTTTATTTTGCCCACGTTCTAAGTTTATGGCAGAAGCACTGACATGCTCTGAATGACTTTTCCAAAGCAGGTACCTGCAGGTCGTAGTAAAAAGATGTGATCTCGGAGCTGGAGTGGTTATAGACGTGGGTGATCCTCGTGGGGTAGTTCAGGTCGGAGTAGAAGAATTGAAGGTGTTGGCCCAGACTGTTTCTTGACGCCACACGTCGGCCGAGGCCATCGTAACGGTACTGGATCGTCCAGCTGGCTGCTTTGCTATAGACACGCGTTAAAAGACCTGAAATAAAAAGTAAAAAATAAGTATGCAAACAATGAGAGGACGACAGTGGTAAAGCTAAATGCTAACGACTGCAATGTATGGAACTTGACAGTTGTAGATCTTTGCAGGAAAATGAATTAAAAACACTTCTGTCATCAAGAAATGGTTTAAAGGATATGATGTATTATTTAAAAAGAAATAGTAAATTGCAAATGGTTAAAAGTAGAATTTTGCTGTGTTATATTTGGATGTTTCTTTGATTCAGGTCGTTATACAGGACCAAGAAAACACAAAGTGCAAGTCGCCAGTCATCACCTTTGGAGTTGTATTCAAATATCTCAGCTCCCCTCTGTCGCAAAAATCCGTCTTCATCCAGCCTGTACTGAACATCTCCCAAACGGGTGATTCTGTCCCTCAGATCGTAACGTAGTGGGGTTAACCGACCACTGTTCCCTGGATTCAGCAGGTGGAGGTTTCCATTCAGGTCGTAATTATATCTGTAATGTCAAAAGTCGTGTCGTTAACATCTAACATTAGTTACGGACGACGCACAATTCTTTTCTCTTGAGTGAAACGTCTTACCGCCACATCAGTTTCTCGTTCAGGTAGACTGTCTGCAATTGCCCGTCGACGTCGTACTCGTAACCGTATTTGGTCGTGTTGGCAAACGGTCCAATCTTGATCTCGCGCCTGGTGACCCTGCCCATGTTGTCGTACTGAATGGTGATCCAGTACATCAGAGACCTAAAAATCTCATACTGGATCTCCTTGATGCGGCCATGCTGGTCAAAGTGTTTCGTGTACGTCATCACGGCCGTTGATATAATCTAGGACAGCAGGGGACGAAAGCCGAACATCAATCGTTTATTTCGTACTCTCACACAAAGTCCTGTCCATCAGACAAACAGAATCGTTATTGGTATAGTCTAAGTGTTCTTATAAGTCTTACTGAAGCACCTGAAAGGAGGTTAAACACTCATTTCTGTGTGTGGTGTTTAACATTTTTATCTCTCATAGCTGAAATCAGACATAATGTTTTTTCATAAGAAAACCACTGTCCAAAATTGACTCAACAAAGATGCTTGAGCGTGTACAACAGAACAACGAATAAGTTTAGAAGCCTAAAACTCTCTCTGACCATTGCAAGAAACAAGAAGTTTAAAGAACCAATCCAAAATACGTCTGCATTCTGCTAAAACATGAGCTGTTATATGTAAGCTTGTGCTTGGTAAGTCTTTCTGGTTAGCAAAAAAACTTTCCAACAAATCAGTTCGCAGCAATTGCCCTCTTTCATCCATTCCATCAGAAAGACTATTTACATTTTCTCGCATGCATATAGATAAGCTTAAACTTTCAAAGAAATTCCCCAAGAAATTCACAGCATGTTGCCCACTTTGTGCCCGTAAAATTGCTTTCACTCGCGTAACTTCGGAGCACTTTCAGAAGCGCCATGCAGACATGATTGATGAACAAAAAACTTTGTAAATAATCTGAAAGGCAAGACAAAGAAAAACTGATCATACTGCATACTCTCTTTTAATTGATTGAAATAATGAAAAATATTTGCTGGATGTATGACTGATCCGAATATTTGGGCTCACCAGTTTAAGTATGATTGCAGGAATTAAAAGTGATCTTGTCAGTTATTAATATTAAAGAATGGTCCTGATGTGTTTGGGACCAATAATAAAATCTACAGTTAAAGCAAATGAACCATAGTCTAGCCACTCCTGACTTACCTGATTAATATCGTAGTAGATGACGCCAAATTTCCCAAACTGTTCCACTTTTCCGGATATGTCGTCGAACTGATAGAGATCGATTGGCAAAGGCGTCTCGTTGATTACCGCCTGCATGCTGGTGACCCTGAAGCTGTTGTCGTAGGTGTAGTCGAAGCGCGCGTTCACCATTCCGTCTTCGCTGAAGCGGAATATTTGCCGATCGACCAGGGGGCCGATCTGGCGGTAGCGGATGGAGCAGATGAAGCCCTCGCTTTGCAAGTTGACGGTTTTGAGCACGCCGGCAGTCTCGTCGTAGGTGAAACTGACTCGCGTGGAGTCGTAGAGGATCTCTGCAAGCTTGTTCTGACGGGACAAGAACAACAATGAGCATGTGCGTTACAGAATGCACGTAAATAAGCATACAGGTGAATATATGAATAGATTCATGATTAACAAATATACCTGTCTGCGATATTTGTACAGTATCCGACGGCCTGTGCCCAGGTGTGCAACCCTGAGGAGCTGGAAGCAGAGAAATCGATTAATTATGGTCAAATTATATTACTTATTGTGAATTGTGAAATAACAAGCAGTATTTTTTAGTGTGAATGCAATAAAAAATGAGGATAAATACATACATACATACATACATACATACATACATACATACATACATACA